CGGGCCCGGGCGGCTTCAAAGTCTTCTGGCTTGCGGTGCTGCCGGCCTTGGCTGTCTTTCTTGGCAGCCCGGCCTTTGCGCTCCGACGCCGCTTCGGCCTTGGACGCTCCGGCATGCCCCTTGTCGGTGTCTACCTCGCCGTCGGTAGATAGTTCGTAGATGCGGAGCGTCTCGACACCGCCCTCTGCGGAGAGCTCGTGGACGCGAGGACGGCCTTTGTTGCCGTCGTCGTCGTCTTCGCGCGGCTTGTCGCCGTCCCTGTCTAGCTCCTCAGGGGACGGGTCTTCGTCGACCAGGTCGTGGACCCAGGCAGCGGCTCTGTCAAAGGCCTCGTCGAAGCCGTCTTCTTTCCAGGTGGTGTCTTCCCCGCCTCGGTCATCTGGCAAAGGGATCTTTGGTCAGCTTGGACGACCTCCGAGCGATGTGTTATGGGATAGCAACTTACTTGCAGCGGAGCCGCGTCGGTTCGGGGTCGAGTCCCACGGACATGCCGACTTGCTGGCCGGGTAGTCGAAGCCGCAGAATGGGCATCGGATCATGGGGGCCATCTTCTAGACTGGCGCGGAAACGGTGCGATAGATTCGTTCTTGCGTAAGGTAGGCAAGGTAAGGTGGCTTGGCAAGTGCAGCAGGTGATTGTATTGTGAAAGCGCGTGTTGCGGTGCGTTGCGTTGCGTGTCGGTGCCAGACAGAACGCACTTCAACAACAGCGACGGCAACAAACATGCACTTATATACATGCCATCAACAACGGACTGGATCCCTCGCTGCTCGATGAGTCGTACAGACGTCGCCCGTTGGCTCAGGGCAAACATCACGAACTCCAAGATGCCCCGCGATCAGCCATTCCCGGTCTTGACTACGGTCGTCGTCGTCCCTCCCTGGGCTGGGCGGCCACAGCCGGCGGCCGGGCGTAAAGAAACCATTGAGCGCGCTACACACATGTTGTGATCTGGGTCGATTTCCGGGGACTGGGGAAGCCGCACATCCGGGTAGAGTCGGTGCGGCGGAAATGGTCATCTATTATCCAAATCCATCATGTTTGTACGCGTGCTTCCATGTGTCCTGCTTTGTCGGTCGCGGGCGCCAAAGTGGATGTTGGGTGATTGGCACCTGTGCTGTTCAAAAATCCGCTGGCTCGCGGGAGTCCACAAAGCCGGTAACCAATGACACGCCGTCTGCAGGTCGAGACTTCGATAACCTGCATTGCATGAACTGTGAATACAAAAAAGCTTGGATTTTCCCTGCACATCCTCGCCCTCGTGGGGGAAGTTCGTTTGCCGCCGCTCATTGGGACGATTTTGCTGCGGCGGTTGTGGCCGCCCACGAGGTCCCCCAGACCGAGGCGATGCCCCCCTGTCTGAAACGGCCAAACCCCACGTTTGGTCGTTGGGTTGGGCCAACAACACTGGGGAACATGTTGAAACCAGGTAAACCTACCAGAGAGATCAATGCGTGGTCCAGATCCCAACACGCAAATATGCAAGGCTGACAATAGGTGGTCGGCCTTTCGTGAACACCGCCTCGGCCAGGACCGGGCGCTCTTGCGTCCAGTGGCCTCGTGTGGCTCAGATCGAGAGAGAGAGGTCTCAATCGAGTTGTGAGTTGGTCGTCTCCTCGGTTTGGCTGCCTCGCACGGGATCTCTAGGTAGGTACCGTACCGTCTTTAGAGTGGCGCCGGCAGAGCATGGTGGCCAAAGACCGGTTCCAATGTGTGCAACGTGATTATGATTGTGAAACCCCACACCGAGATCCTGCCCACCCTATGGTATGAATAAATACAGGCGACATTGCGATGGCCACCGTGAAGGCGTCTTGACGCTGAAACTATGGGATAAGGAAGAGACAGAAAAAAAGAAAGAAATTGGCACCGGCCGTCCACATCGGCAATATGCGTTTGCTGCGTCGGGCGAACGACGAGACTGGGGCCGCCTTCCGTGGCCTCCCAAGAAAACCAAGAAGGGGACATTCTATCTAGCAAGGCAGAAAGCAAGACAAGAAGAGCTAGTCATAATTCTTCGTCTACTGCGTTCCGTTGCCGCCACTCGTACCTATGCCCTGACGCGTACCCCTTTTTTACACCCGTTGTCGCCCGTCTCCGCTCAGCTGCTCCCTCCAACAGCGCTTGAGACGGCGTCGGCAGCCTTTTGGGCACCACTGGTGACGGCGTCGGTGGCGCTGCGCAGGGCGAGCTTCGCCTTGGACTCGACCTCGACGTCGGCGATGCGGTTGAGCTCCGTGACGAAGCTCTGGCCCCACCAGGCGCTCGTGTACTTGAAGATGTAGCGCTCGAGCTTCTTGTAGTTGACCTCGCGCTGCTCGGGGCCCATGGTGACGGCGTCGTGGATGGCGTTGGCCAGCTCCTCGGTGTTCCAGGGGTTGACGATGAGCGAGCCGCTCAGGCTCTGGGCGGCGCCCGTGAACTCGGACAGGATCATGACGCCGTGGCGGTCACGCTGGGTGGCGATGTACTCGTAGCTGACCAGGTTCATGCCGTCGCGCGTCGAGCTCACGAGGCACACGTCCGAGACGGCGTACAGGGCCGCCAGCTCGTCGAAACTGACCGACTGGTGCAGGAAGTGGATGGGCATGAACTCGATGGTGCCGAACTTGCCGTTGATGCGCCCCACCAGCTCGTTGACCACGGCCCGCAGGTTCTGGTACTCCTCCACGTCCTGCCGGCTGGGCACCGCCACCTGGACCAGCACGATCTTGCCGATCCACTCCGGGTGCTCCGTGAGGAACACCTCGAGCGCGTGTAGCTTCTGCGGCACGCCCTTGATGTAGTCGAGCCGGTCGACGCCGACGATGAGCTTGACGCCCTCGAACTTGCGCGTTAGTGCCGCGATGCGCTCCATGACTTTGGGCTTCTTGAGGCCTTCGACAAACTTCTCCGGGTCGATGCCGATGGGGAAAGCGCCGACCGTGACGAAGCGGCCGGCAAACTCGACGCCGTTGGGCGTGGTAGGTGCCGAGCTGTGTCTTGGTCAGTCATGCCCGCAGGTCTGGGAGGAGAAATTGGCGCCGCATGCGAAAGAGTAAAAGAAATAAACTCACAGAATGCGAGAGCAGGAGCTGAGAAAGTGGCGGGCGTAATCATAAGTGTGGAAGCCCAGCAGGTCGCAGTGGAGGACCCCCTTAAGCAGAGCCTCCCGGACGGGCAGGATGCGGTAGATCTCGGAGGAGGGGAAGGGGGTGTGGAGGAAGAAGCCGATCTTGACGTCCTTCTTGGAGGAGCCAATCTCCTCGCGGAGCATCTCGGGCAGCAGCATGAGGTGGTAGTCGTGGACCCAGATCATGTCACCGTCCTGCACGTCCTTGATGACGGTCTGGGCGAACAGCCGGTTCACCTCCTTGTAGGCGGCCCAGGCCGACTCGTCGAATGTGATCTCGCCCGGGTGGTAGTGGAAGAGAGGCCAGAGGATCGAGTCTACTCCCGAAGGTTGGACATGGTTAGTGATACACAGGCTCATGCGTTTTGGTCACTTCTGGGCTGATTGGCACGTACTCGAAAATCCATTGTAATGCCTGTCTGCGAGCTCGTCATCGACAAAGACGGGGTGGGCGCCGTACTCGTCCTTCAGCCGCTTGACTAGCGGACCGGCCTCGGCGTCGGGAACCTCGAGTCCGGGCCAGCCGTACCACTGGAAGCTTGTGGCTTTGGACAGCCCGCTCAGGCCGGTGACGAGGCCGCCCGAAGACATGGAGAAGCTGTACTGGCCATCGTCGGAGCGCTTGATGGTGATAGGGAGGCGGTTGGATATCAGCAGGAGCCGGCCTCCGAGCGCCATTTGATCTCCGTCGACGCTGCCCATTGTGACACTGGTGCTTTTGGGACAAAGGCCGAGAAGGGATCGAGGCGAGCTGGGTAGCCAGTCGAAGAGCAGGCAAGGGCTTGGGCGCCAGCGCCGACGAGGGCTTAGGGGCGCGGGGCGTCGACAGCTAGGTACTGTAGGTACTTGGTGCGGCAAATGCAAGCAAAGAGCTGCGAGAACAGCCTCGAATTAGCTGTGTGAGCTTTTTATATGCAACAGTCGAGTATTAGACCGAGCCTGAAATGGGCAGACGGCGTGGCGAGAGTTGCGACAGAAATGGATGTCGTTTTTCGGGAGAGGTTGGCACATGGAAAGCCGGAAGGGGAAGGCGGGGTAATTTGTGCTCCAACCGAAAGAATTTGAGATGCTGACAGGGGAGGGGGGGTTCGCGACTTACAAGCAATACGACGGTCGCAGGTTCTTTTCACAAGAATCCAGACGTGCGACAAGATGTTCGGCTCTCGCGGCAGATGGCAGATGCAGAGCAAAGTTCACAGAAGCTACTCCGGTTTGGGTGGAGAGATGGGCTGCAAGCTGCACTGCCCTGGCACGGCCATGAATGGCGGGGACGCTGGCGGACGGGGAAGGAGAACTTGACGTCGACTACGTAATGTTGACTCCCAACCGACAGGGGTTGCTGCCGTGCATGCTGTTCCTCGATTCCCCGAGTTCCAATGAGCATTGGCTGGGAATACCAGGCCAGACCATCCGTCATTGATGCACGTCTTACAGCAGCCGGCCGAGCAAGGCGCTCCCCTGTCCGGCTATTAGCCAAACGGGCCGGTTCGCTTGAGCGTCGCCCGCTGCGACGATAACTTTCCGGCATGTTGCGTCAGAGAGGGCCCAAGCTTCCTCCCATTCGTTCTAGAAGCTTGGGCTCGCCGCGCCCAACACGGGCCGCTGTTCCAGGTGATGGGATGAGCTCGGGGCCAATCGTTCTGGGCACAAGTTGGGCAGGAGGTGGCAGAGGGAAATCCCTCATTTCAACCCGAGACCGTCTATCCGGTTTAACAGTGTAAATGTAAATGGTAGCTTGTGGATCGATGCGTGGTTTCTTGGTTCCTCGGTATGTGGGAGTTATACGTTTAATCCATTATGGGCAGGGGGGTCATATGTAACTGTGCGACGGAGATTAGCTCCGGACATAATTGGACCGGGGCTGCCTGCCACCATCAGTCAATGATTGGCCCTTATGGCGTAGTGGTAGCGCGTCGGTCTTGTATCCCTGATCCATTCAAACCGAAGGTCCCTAGTTCGATCCTGGGTGGGGGCAGTTGATTGATTGATCTTTTTGCATTGAGCTTGGCACACTTTCTTGCCCCGACCCCTACATAAGACACCTCTTTCTAGTGGCCTCGTCCCCGCATGGGTGCTGCCGTCGACAAAGACTTCAGTCTACCACCGCCTACTTCCGTCACGCCGCCGCCCGGACACGCTGTTCCATGCGGCGCCGCGAAAGTCCATCCCTTACCGTAGCGTGAAGCCGCCGCGCCGCCCTGCACTCACTCGTACTGTCGGTTGGAGGCCCTGCCCCGTGCCGACATCGTCGGACCCGTCGGGCAGGCCATAGATGTCCTGCGCGGCGTAGTTGTCCTTGGCAAAATCGGTCAGCCGCGCCGCGCCGTCCTACGGAAAGTACTATGTCGCTGGCCCGCGCACCGAGACTACCAGAGCCCAGGCCTGCCGCCCCTGCTCCACCCGTCTTCGCATCACGTACGGACACTCACACTACGCACCCAGCAGGCTGTGACGCGGGAAGTCGGACTCGCGCCTCCAGTGGCGCATGCCCGAGGCTCGAGTAGACGCCGACGCCAAGGTCCTGCGCGTGCGCGAGCACCACGACCCAGCGGTCTTGGAACCGGATCACCCGGTCGCGGAACTGCCCACTGCGGCTGCCGCTGTCGATGACCGGATTGCCAGCGTAGTGTCGGGACGAGTGAGTAGCCGCTGTAGAGCAAGTACGCCAACGCTGCTGTCATCCTCGGGGTCCTCGGCCAGCGTGAAACACGGTGGGCACGCCGCTGTCGCGGCTCGGGAAGAAACCCCGACGTGATGTTGGAGTCCGTGACGGCGCTGCGAGAGAACACGAAGACTCGGATCCCGCGGCGGCGACAGCGCCACTGGCTGGTTCTCCCAGTGGTACATACATGTCCCGGCCCGTTCGCGTGGCTCCAATGTTGCTGCTTGCCCGCCGACAGCCTGGCCGGGTTTGCACTGGCGCCTGGCCGTCGAATGCCGGTTCGACTCTCTCAGCTCCCAGCGTGCTCCCGCAGCATGCGTGCTAACAGGGCCGAAATCACGGGCAGCTGCGCCAAATGCACCAGAAATCAATCTTGCGGAAAAGCGGACTCGTCCGAAGCAACCTTTTTCTTTCTCACTCTTGTATCTAGCAATCGCTAATTAACATGTTACGCCCACACCATAACGCTAACAAAAAAAAATTGAAAACTCGACCTGTAAACTCCACGACAACGCCAATACTGCTTACCCCTCCGCCACCCTGAACTCCCAGCGTGAGCCACAAACCGAGATTAGCGAGAAACAGCGGCAGCCTTGACAGTGCCCTTGCTCTTTCCCGCAAGGTCAACGTTTGGCTGGGTGACGGCGCCGGGCGCAGCTTGACCAGCAGAGGCAGGCTTCGAGGAAGCCTGATTCCCTTTTCCAGCAACGGGCTTTCCAACAGAAGCAGGGCTTTGCGGACCAGGAGCGGCACGGTCCTTGGCAGCGGGACCAGTCGGTCCTCCCCGGGCTCCGGTGCCAGGAGTTGTTGTGCCAGCGGCAGGCTTTGTACCAGGGCCAGGCTTCGGCTGAGTTTGCCCAGCTGCATTGGACTTTGGCTTTCCAGCTCGGCATGCACCTGGGCGAATAGAGAACACATCTGTTGTCAGCATCCACTTCTCTGTTGTCTTCCGCACACCCTCGGCAGTGTGCAGAGTTGGCCAGGGGTCGAAAAAAAAAAAAAAACTTACCATGACTGGGTCCTGAAGGCGGGTTGGATACAGGCCCCTTTGCCGCGGTAATACCCCGTCGCTTGACGCTCTTCCGTAGCTGGTGCTTGAGGGCTGCCCACTCCATGTTGATTTCAGGTTTCGGCCGTGCTTCAACCCAGACGTTCACACCGGCCCACGGCTTCCCCTTGTCGCCGTTCCGGTGATGCGGCGAGTAGTCGATGATGGTGACGCCGTTCACCTCTGTGGGCAGCAGGCTTTGGTGTGCTTCGCCGATGTAGGTGACAACCTTGACCTTGTCGCCCGGCTTGTCGGAAATCTTCACCTTCCCCATCAGGTCGGCAAGGCCGTCATCGTCCTCCCCTCGGGCATCGCATGCGGGGTATTCGGGATCGATCTGGAGTATGTGGGCGTCCCGTAGGCATTTGCCCTTGTCGCACATGGCGCCGAATGTGTTGCGAAGACTTTCTATCTGCTTCGGGTACTTGGGAGCATCGGTAGGGAGTCTATAAACACTCGCGGCAAGTTTATGGTTAGTATGACGAGAGAGAGAGAGAGAGAGAGAGAGAGAGAGAGAGAGAGAGAGAGAGAGAGAGAGAGAGAGAGAGAGAGAG